GTGTGTATGTGTGTGTGCGTGTGTGTGTGTGTGTGTGTGTGTGTGTGTGTGTGTGTGTGTGTTTCCACACATAAGAATCACGGCCTTTGCGCTGCTTTTTTGTAAACAAAGCGACCATTGGAACCCGTTCTTCTATTTCAATACGAAAAAGCCTGGTAATTCCTGTTATTTTAAACACTTTCTGTACATGATCGTTACGATTTGGTGACAGTAGAAAGACTGCTTAAAGATATCAGCACCTTTTATGCCTATTTCTATGAGCTAACAAAGAAGCTTCTGATCTGAAATAACAACGCGAATGCAAATACCACTGATTTTTTGTGCATCTGATATCCACAACGTTACAATTTAAAAGATAAATTGGCATTTTCAGGGTACGAGCTGAAAACAAGGCAACATCATCCTCCAAATTACTGAACAAAATTATACCTTCCTTAAATGTGTTTCCTAAAAGGACGATGACGCACATCAAACCTGCTGTTGCTGTGGTCCTTAACCCCCACCCCCACCCCCACCCCCACCCCACACTCACCCAAAAAAAGACCCTCGCTCACCCCAGCTCAATGAACAAATGTATTTTGATACAATGGTCACATAGTTGTAGCCTTCTTAAAATTACCCGATTGATTCAGACTTCGAAAAAGATCATCCTTGTGGAGAAGACTAAATTTCCGCGTGCAGCGAGTTGAAAGTAGTGATCTGCCAAATAATGTTACATTGCACTAAGTCGTTTCTATTCCACAAAAAACAACACATTTTTGCTGTAGTTATTTTCTTTGTCGATGTTTTCCTAAATGATTTAATGACATCGTATCTCAGGCAGAGAGCTAGTTCACATAATCTTTTAAAAATTATTGTCTTTTTGAAGGAATACAGTGAACTGTTTGATCACAGAATAAGCTCCGTCTTGTTAGATTCGAGATCACATTTTTTTTGCCTTTGAACAGAATGATGAGGCTGGCGTGCGTCCGTAGTCTAGTGATTCAGCTGTCCGGATCATAACCGAAAGGACGTCGGTTTGAATCTCGTCGGGGACTCACGTTGTGTCCTTTTGAACGGTATTTTACACTAATTTTCCTCACTTTACCCAGATAGGAGTGGGTGCCCGGCTAAAACGGGAAAAGATTTTCTCAGTTAAGTCTTAGTATTCAGTGCTTATTCGACTGCTTGCTGTGAAAGAAAAAGTGTTACGAAAGCTGTCCGAAAAGTAAGGCTGAATTGCCCCTAAATAAATCATTTTACATTGATATGAATATAAAATAAGCCTAATAATATAGTAACATCATTGGACTACTTCCCAATAATATAATTATAGTCTTGATATCAACATATCTTCACCAGAGACTCATCCCAGTTTGAATCTTCTAGACGATTTCAACTGGGCTGATGATGGTGTAAAAAAACAACAACCTAATTAAAAGGAATTACTGTGTGTGAGTGTTACATGTGTTAGTGTGAGTGTTTGTGTACGTGTATATATGTGTCTGTCTGCCTGTCTGTCAGTCTATCTATCTCTCTGTTTGTTTATCTGTCGGTCTCCCAGACATGTTCTATAAAGTATATTTAAAAAACAAACTTTAAGCTCACAACCCTCATCTTGTTTCACAGTGACTCAAGCGCCTGTCCATGGTATAGAGACAGAATAGCTGTTGGAAGTGCTGAGGCCGCCGATCCCGCAGAGCCTGCTAAACTAGGAGTGCGTTTCAACGAGAGTGAGTTATGGTGATTTCCAGTATTTGCTTAATTTCGTCAACGTAGTAGTAGTAGTAGTAGTAGTAGTAGCAGCAGCAGCAGCAGCAGCAGCAGTAGTAGTAGTAGTAGTAGTAGTAGTAGTAGTAGTAGTAGTAGTAGTAGTAGTAGTAGTAGTAGTAGTAGTAGTAGTAGTAGTAGTAGTAGTAGTAGTAGTAGTAGTAGTAGTTGTAGTAGTAGTTGTAGTAGTAGTAGTAGTTTTGTTGCTTTTGTCGTTGCATTGTTGCTGTTGCTGTTGTTGTTGTGTTGTTGCTACAGTTTTTGTTAATGTATCTAAAAAGTATATAGTCATTATTATTATCATAGTTTTTATTTGTTATTATCAGAATTTTATTAATCTTCTACTGCCACATCATATTCTATGATTCCAACATGGCACATAATATGTGAAGCATGCTTAAAAAATGAGTAACTTATCGCAATACACAAATGGAGATATTGGCCAAGAATGAAACTAGGATAAAAATTTCTAGATTTTCTTTTGATGACATATAAAACAAAAATTGGAGTATTGCATTCAAATAAAAATCTGAACATTCAGAAATGTATGGCCTCTGCTCTCAGCCTGCATATGATAACATAGCTATGCTGATTCGCTTTCACATGTGTAATATTTTCAATCTAAATGTGTTTTTCTCACCACCATCGCCACTTCTAACCCTTGTAATGCGTACCTATGTTCAAAATAAATCCTTGTGTGACGTCGGAATGTATTCTTTATTCAATTTCCTTCAATTTGGTATATCAGATGTTACGTTTTGAGAAATGGTTATGCTTATATGAAGTTATTTTGCACGTCACTTGTGTAGCCGAATCGAGTCACACGCTTACTACGTCTAGACCCCAAAACAACTACGTCCGGAAAGAGTTAAGTACATGTATAGCCTGCCCTGTATTATTTCATACTTATAATTTGTAAAAATTCACCTATAAGCGCAATGTATCTATTTTCATACGGTTCGAATCCGAGAAGTTACTCATTTTGTCAGCACGCTTCACATATATAATATGAAAACCAAAAAAGTGAAGCAACGCTTACTGAAGGTGCACAGTTAGGTTATGCGAACGCAAGGGCGTCTGTGTCTACCGCCTGGGCAAAGCTGTGTCATGCACACTGCTGTAAGATCGGCTGTCAAGACGCAAAAGGCCAACTACTATGTTCCATCAAAGAGCACGTAAACCCTCTGGTTCCATCTCAACAGATGCTCCCGCAGGCAAATACTGGGTCATCGAGACCGACTATGACAACTACTCTGTGGTGTACAGCTGCAGCCCGATGTCGTCCATGATGCAAGTTTTCGTCGGTATGTACTCACTATAGTTCGAGTTTTATGAGTTAGTTCAACACAACACCGCACTGCCGGACTCGCAATTAGCTCAGTTTGTGTCTTATGGTGTGCTTGACACTAGTTCGATTCCCTAATGAAGTGTTCTTGAAAAGAGTTTGTATGGTGATTCTTAAGGCTACATGACCATCAGACTTGGCACTGGAGACCAATTTGGAAAAAAAAGAAGAAGACTTACACCAATTGGCAGGTAAAGAGCACGATCAGGAAGGAGGCAATCACACGAGGGAAGTGGACAGGGACTGACAAGTGGGACGTTGACTGCTCTCTGCCTTGTGTAGCTAACAGTACAGGAAGAGAGTCTAACTTTTTTGGCTCTGTCCTGTGGGAGTCATTTTGTCACCTGTCATCACAAACGTGTTTGTCCGTTGGTACCCCCCCCCCCTTTCCGAGCCACAACAGACTTCAACCTTCCCCGGTCTCTACTTTGATTTATTATTCTACGACGTTGTAGACCACTGTTGGATTTTTACATTTTCATGGTACGATATAGGTGGTTTTCCCATAATTATTTCTCGTTGCCTTTACTTTGCCCCGCAGCGCAGTTGTCACACTGTTCCCTTTTAGGATTCTGTTTACGTGACCAAGGTATTTAAGTCTCATTTTGTCAACCTTAGAAATCATACAACGCTGTGAATCAAGTTCTTCCAGGACACTATGATGTGTTCTTTTTTCTATTGAGCCTTCTATATATGCTATATACTAATCTTCCCTTTCTAATACCAAGGCCGCAGTCTGACACAAAACTATTGGCAATCTCATACTGTTCAAAATTAATATCAAACTGGCTAATATTTCATTTCCTATCGAAGATTGACGTTAAATGTAGATTTCCTACCATTTGGATATATTATTATACTTGCCGTTCCATACCATTCCATTTGAAAGACACACCAATTATAGTAAGATTAATGAAATGTACTTTATTGACCAACCACCGGAAGAAAATAAGTAGTTCATTGGCAAGAGTAGAAACGAAAGACAGCGGTGGAGAAGAAGTTGCAGGAATATAAACCAAAGTAAATATCTCCCAAACGCTTGTTTTGGCATAGATGTTCACTCAACCAATGGACACCCCCCGCCCCCTTTTCCCCACAACACACGAATACATGTCAAGGATTTGTATTAATTGGTGGAAGGGGAATCTTATACTCGTGG